AGTCTGCTCCATTATTTCTGTGTGATGAGTATGATGTTATAAATAACATACTGTAAATCTAAATTATCACATGATATATTAGTATCCACTGGGTTTTGGTTGCACCCCCACCCCATGGATACAAACATCTGTCGATGCTCAACTATTATTTATTTATTTATTTATTTATTTATTTATTTATTTATTTATTTATTTATACTCCGCTTTTCTCCCATGGATGGAACAATCCAATTACAGTAGAGTCTTGGTTATCCAACATAAATGGGCCGGCAGAATGTTGGATAAGCAAAAATGCTGGATAATAAGGAGGGATTAAGGAAAGCTTATTAAATGTCAAACTATGTTGTGATTTTACAAATTAAGGACCAAAACATCATGTTTTACAACAAATCAACAGAAAAGGCACTTCAATACACGGTAACGTTACATAGCAATGACTGTATTTACGAATTCAGCACCAGAACATCGCAATGTATTGAAACAGCTGTGGATCTGGGTGGGAGGCAGACTGCGTTGGATAAGACAGAATGTTGGATGAGCAGAGGTTGAATAAGCGAGACTCTACTGTATATACAAAGGCATGATAAAATGATGTCACTGATATAAAATTCCTAAATATTTGCTTTGGGAGGTTGGGGGTGTTGCGCTAAGCGTATTTCAGTTAAGCCCAATGCAGAAGACAATAACATTGCACCCAGGCAAGAGGAAAAAGAGCAGAAAAACTACTCTTATTAGCAGAGTTAAAACATAAACTTGCAATGTTGCAAATAAAAATAAACAGTGCAACAAACTTACATAGTCCTTGTAAGCAATACAGAATAAGGCTTCTTCATCTTCATCCAAATGAGAGAGCAGTAGAAATGGTTGAGCAAAATGCCTGAGCAAAGGCTCCTTAGAGCAAAGCTGAACTATATTCTAAAAACCATACAGTTATACCCCACCGGGTGTGGTCCCAACTTACTAGTTGACCTACATTAGCAGCTGCACATAATAATTAACAGCATAAGGTTTTCTTTAACATACACACATACTTGATCCTGTTACGACTTACTGTAACAGGGGGGATATTTTCAAGGCATTGATGGTGGAGTCCATGGATGCAGAATCTGTGGATACAGAGGGCTGACTGTATGGAAACATTATTCTTTTTTCCTGTTGGGATATCAGCCAGCATGCCAACATCTTACATCAAGAAACAGCTTCCTAAGAGCTACGAAGATACTCGCAGGAACACTTCAGCAAGAGAGAGTCCAAAAGTGGCAGGCAAAAACCCAAAACCTCAATCAGTGGCTGAGATCGGATGAGAAACTCCTTGCTGGGCACACAGAAGACTGGATGACCTGGAAGGCATTGAATAGACTGCACTCTGACACCATGAGATGCATAAGAAATGGGGTCACCAAGTGGGGTCCACAACATGTGAGTGAAAAACAGCAAACCACAGACGACCTACTACAATGCAGTCTGAGCCCTGCCACATGCACAATGGAGGACCTTCTCACAGCAACACCAGGGGCACTCCAAGTGGCCAACTTCTGGTCAAAGGAAACTTAGTATAATGCCAAGTGTTTTTTTTTTTTAACTCTGTGATTTTAAACTATATTTGTGGTTTTTAAACTTTGTGTTTTTTAATACATTATAATTAGCTTCTGCCTCGATAAATAAATAAATTAGAAAACTCTGCCATTCTGTTTTTAAAATGTTTACAAATGATTTCACTGTACTTCTCCCTGTATGACAAATGAATCAGTAATTATAGGAAGCTCACAAGATTGAGTTCGTAATTGCTCTTTGCCACTGGCCATTTATAAAGACGAGATAGCATCCTGTCTGACTTGCAAGAGAATATTTTTCTTGAACATGGGGAAAAAATTAAATAAAGTCAGTCTCGGATCCCTGGAGAACAGTAGCTACTTTCCATTTTAGAAAGAGGATAATTGATCTAAGCGTGTCAAAAGCAAAAGAGGTCAGTGACTATGAAGATACAAAGTGGCATTCTACATAGAGAACCATTTTAGATTCCAGAAGAATCTGTGTTAAATGTTTTTTTTTCAATTTAAAAAGCCATGTTAATCATATGATTTTAATTCATTTATTAAAATGATATGATTAACCTCAACCAATGGCTGATACCAAATGAGAGACTCCCCCCTGGGCACACAGAGGACTGGGCGACTTGGAAGGCGCTGAACAGACTGCGCTCTGGCACCACAAGATGCAGAGCCAACCTTCAGAAATGGGGCTACAAAGTGGAATCCTCGACATGCGAGTGCGGAGAGGAGCAAATCACAGACCACCTGCTGCAATGCAACCTGAGCCCAGCCACATGCACCATGGAGGACCTTCTTGCAGCAACACTAGAAGCACTCTAAGTGGCCAGATACTGGTCAAAGGACATTTAATCAACTACCAAACTCACACGTTTTGTATTTTCTGTTTGTTTGCTTTGTTCTGTTAGAAATGTAATATAATTGACTGGCTGCCCTGACACGAGAAATAAATAATTCATTTATTGTATCTATAATTTCAGTCTGAGCTATATATTCCGTTTCCCCGTGATCATTTCAAAGAATGCATGTGACAATCTATACACATAATAAAAGTGAAAATACGTGTGTATGTAGCTGGGGTGTCCACAAGCTCCCACCTCCACAAACAGCCATAGCTCCCACCACTCAGGTGCCATAAAAGGCCCTTCCTCCAATGACATTGCAGGTTATAGTGAGCGCCATGAATATGTCCAAGAGCCCTGCCAATGTCCTCCACAAACACCACACTGCCCACCACCCAAGTGAAGGCTTTCATACGGGAACAATTTCATCCTAGATTTCACGAGTTTCCTCCACCACAGACATCCCAGAGTTTTTCTTTTTCTTTTACACATCCCAGTGTTTCTTACTCTCTCCATTGCTGTGAAATTTGCATGACCCTGCCCACTGCCTATCCCTTAACCTTTTCCTATTCTTTTCTACGGCACACAGCAAACAGATGAATTGATCAGCAACTGAACATACTAGAGAGCTTTGGGGAGAATTCACCATTGTTGATAGGAGTTGTAGGCACTGGGATATATAGTTCACCTGCAATCTAAGAGCACTCTGAACTCCATAAAGGTGGAATAGGACCAAACTTGGTACAAAGCCCCCACGATCAGCAAAAAATGCTGGAGGTCTTTGGGGAAATTCACCTTGATTTGGGGGAGGTGTCGTTGACCTACATCCAGAGTACTGAGAACCCAAACACTGATGGATCTGGACCAAACTTGGCACACATACCTGATATGCCAAAATTGGATTACTAGAGGGGTTTGGGGGGAACTGATCTTCCTTTCTGGTTCTAGTTCACCAGAACTGTGACCTCCACAAATGATGGACCTGGACCAAACTTGGTAAACAGAACCCCCATGACTAACTCAACCTACTGGAGGGGTTTGGGGGGACTGACTCGCCATAGTGGGAGTTGTAGTTTACCCTGCAGCCAGAGAGCGCACTGAACCCCATCGAAGATGCACCTAAAGTGCAAACTTGCCCAACATAACAAACTTAAAGTACTGATGGAGCTTTTGGGGGTTTAACTGGCATGATGCGAGTTGTAGTTTATGCATTTTGTATAATTTAAAAAAGTGACTTTTTCAAATAACCCGGGCAACACCGGGTATCCAAGCTAATTCAAAAATAAAAGCTACTCTCAACCAGACTGCTTTGACACTGGAAGTGGGAGAAACATCCCTAATTTTATGCACGCCTAAATGACAGCTGAGTTTCCAAACTAACTTCACAGCAAAGATGATACTTTTTCCCTGAGAAGATAGCTAAGGAAGTGATCAAGCTGCTTCTAAGGACAGTGGTTCTCAACCCTCCAAATGCCATGAACCCTTAAATGCAGTTCCTCGTGTTGTGGTGACCCCCAACCATAACATTTTTCTCGCTACTTCATAATTGTAATTTTGCTACTGTTATGAATCATAATGTAAATTTCTGATATGCAGGATGTATTTTCATTCACTGGACCAAATTTGGCACAAATACCCAAGACGCCCAAATTTTAATACTGGTGGTGTTGACCGGGGTGTGTGTGTGTGTGTGTGTTGATTTTTAGATTTGAAGTTGTAGTCGCTGGGGTTGATAGTTAATCTACAACCAAAGAGCATTCTGAACTCCACAATGATGGAATTGAAACAAACTTGGCACACAGGAAGCCCAGACCAACAGAAAATGCTGGAAGGGTTTGGTGGGCATTGACCTTGAGTTTTGGAGTCATAGTTCACCTACATCCAGAGAGCACTGTGGACTCAAACAATGATGGATCTGGACCAAACTTGGCACGAATACTCAATATGCCCAAATGTGAACACTGGTGGAATTTGGGTAAAATAGACCTTTACATTTGGGAGATGTAGTTGCTGGGATTTATAGGTCACCCACAGTCAAAGAGCATTCTAAACTTCACCAATGCTAGAACTGAACCAATCTTGGCACATAGAACTCCCATGACCAACAGAAAATACTGGGAGGGTTTGATGGGCATCAACCTTGAGTTTGGGAGTTGTAGTTCACTTATATCCAGAGAGCACTGTGGACTCAAACAATGATGGATCTGGACCAAACTAAGACCATCAGAAATATATGTTTTCTGATCATCTTTGGCAACCACTCTGATAACCCCCTTGCAACCCCCAGGTTGAGAAACACTGTTCTAGAATATTTCTCCCAAAACTTTTGACACCAGCATCCCACTGCAGACATTCAAAACACCCCCCCCCCCCCCCGGTGTAAGCAAAGAATTAAGGCTTCTCCTTTTGGGCAAGATCTTTTTGGTTAAAGGATTTATGCATGGTGACAGATCTCTGTCCTATTGTTGCTGTTTCTATTGTTCTTTTATGGCGGGCCTTCTCCTGCGATTTTCAAATTGTATATGCTGACTTGGAGAATATAGATTGAAAAGCAGGTCTGAAATCATTCACATTAAACTTGAAGAACAGCTTCTCAAAAACAGACAGCTAAAAATTTTTTCTGCATTTTTATTTTTTGTGACACTTGCAAGAACATTGCATTTACAATTTACATATACTCATCATGGTTAAATCCTTACTGAAGAGGCAGACAAAATGTAATTTACAAAATTCCAAAAGGCCGTGTATTATCAAAAGGAAGTTCCATGTTGAAAATTCAGCGATGGTCCAAGGGTTAGTTCGTCTGTACACAAAAAGGATCATGACTCTTGAAAACTGCTGTTGGTCAAAAGGAGTTGGGAATCATCTAAACCAAGATTCCATCTGCATATTATCTTCTGAAACAGCAGTTCTTCCAGTCTCAGGAGGCACTCGTTGGGATGTTTTTGGAAGCGGCGAGCATAGCCCTCACCTTGGCCATAAGATCCTGCAACAAGTAGAGTGAAAGATAACTGAGAACAGGATTTGGTCAGCATACATTAAAAATGAAGGAAGAGAGCAAGGAAAGTAAATAATAGTCTTCTACAAATGTTTCGAGATCTGGAGTCATGTATGAATTTAACAAGCAAGATGTTTTTGAAAGTCTTTTTTCAACCAGGTTCATCTAACTTCCTAAAGATGTCAGAGGTACTGATTGCATACTTTCACTCAACATTGATGCACAGCAAAACCCCAAAGCAGATCTTGTAGGTAAACAGAATTCTAGGGCAGTCGAAATGTATTGCTCACTAAGGTTTTTAGTTATTTCAAAAGAGTAACATCGAGAATTCAGGAGAAAGATTTGAAGGGGCACAATGGAAGGGAAGAAGACAGTTCTACTCAGCCGGCACAAAATTCCATACAGAAAAAGAAAGACACTCGCTACTATAGTGCTTCAAGTGGTCATCTATAAACCCACACAAATGGGTTGTGCATCTTTCAGAACTTTCTGGAACGTTACATGCACGTTTTGGTTACCTCTAGCCACTAGTTCTATGGATGGTGATGAAGCCATACAAGAATCGAGGGGAGGGTCGAGGGGTTGTGTGAGTTCACAGCTAACCACTCAAAGAACTACAGTGACAGGTGACTAACCTATCCTTCTTTGTGGTCTTGGTGATACGAATGGGAGACTAGCAAACTCTACAACAAGGAGGGTTGTTCAAAAGTGAAGTAGTGTTATCGTTACAAAACAGGGAGATCATCATTACAGCATGTAAGCAAGATTATTCTGGGTTGTACCTGAGTTATTTTACTCTGTACGGATGAAACAATTGCTGACGAGATCTGGCCTTCTTTTTCCAAAGAAGCTCCCCTAAAAGGATTTTTAAAAATAGAGAGGAGAGGGGTATAGTCAGTGAAAATTATGGCACATATAAACAGATTGAGACACTAAGCTGCATTAAAAAAAAAACCAGAACAAATGGAGAGCAAAGGCTATGAGAGCTAGCTGTGTTTCATTTCATCTTTGTCATCAACTTCTGAGATACCTTTGTTCATTGGCCTGTGAGGAGTAGATGGTAATACTACTCTGATTAATAGCTACCATCCGTATCCATCCCCAGTTCGCTTCACCAGATCAATAGACATCTTGAGCAATGATCAATCCATTTGCCTCCAAGGAACTGGGAAATTGATGCTTCTGTTCGTTGTTTGATGTTTTGTCTTATGTCTGATAAAACAGGTTGCATTTTTCACTTAATTTTAGTTGTTCAGGCATAATTCGTTTTTATATGTTGGATTGTCAATTTTAGTTATGATGGGTGTATTGTTGTGTTCAGACATTGAATGTTTGCCTTTTATGTTTGAAATCCACCCTGAGTCCCTTGAGAGAGATGGGGTGGAATATAAAGATGATGATGAAGATGATGATGATGATTATTATTATTTGAAACACAACAAGATTAGTACAAAGCAAACAAGATCACTATGCTGGTTGTTGTAGTGGATCACACGTCGGACACTTCCCAAGTGTCTAGGACTATGTGATGTATCAGGGAATAATACGTATAGATCCCAGTAGGTTGGCCTTTTGTCAGCACTGATTTTGTTTAAGTGCTGGCCAAGGCCTTTAGGCACTACACCCAGTGTGCCGATCACTACTGGGACAACCTAGACTGGCTTGTGCCAGAGTCTTTACAGTTCGATCTTTAAATCCTCGTATCGTGTCAGCTTTTCCAGTTGTTTCCCTTCAATCTTGCTGTCGCTTGGGATTGCAACTTCGACAATCCATACTACTACTACTACTACTACTACTACTACTACTTCCTCTTCTTCTTCGATAGCCTTACAAAAATCATTTGAACTTAAGCTATTTCTATCTTCAATGGTAAAAAGGAATAATTTAGGTTTGTCTACTAGGCCTCATTTAAGATTAATGAGACAATTTCATATGGGGTACTTTATATGTTTAGGCCAAACTTTATGTAAAATGTAATTTGAATCTATCACCAATTCACAAGTGGGTGCTTCCACTTATAAGTGGATGTAGTATGTATAAGTTAGTGCTGGAAAGCCCAGAACAACAGTGAAATAGGATGTTCCTTTTAGAGTTCAGCATCCTCAATACTCTCTAACTGAATGCAAAGAAAAAATGCCCTATCACAGAGGATGTAGGAACTGATTAATACAAAGAGTTTTGAAGGTTAAGCATTTCACCAGTGAAATAACTGCAGTGTTAAACTACAGCTGTTTCAAAGTGGTACGTGTGACTTGGTCCATGAAAGGAAAACAATACACTATGTAACACAAGATTTTTGTTCCTGGGTTATACATCTCATTTCCTAATGGATTCTATCATAAAAACATGGGAAAGTTCATTACTGTGCAAAAACTTTGTTTTTGTGTGACATCCTGCAGCACATGTTGCTATACATAGTCTCAACCAATTTAACCTTGGTATCAAGGAAAAGCTTCATGAGAACCGCCACTACCCTTAATGTTCCCCCCAGCAACAGTGTCCCTGTGGGCAGTAAAATCAGGCAATCCCAACTGGACCCCCCCCCCCCAACGAGGGTCTTCCTCCAGGGGCAAACCAAGAATGGACAATGTGGAAGTCCCTGAATAGACTCAGAAGTGGAGTGGGCAGATCAAAAGACAACCTGCCAAAATGGCACTACCTAAAAGAATCCTCACCCTGTGCGACTGTAGAGCAGAACAAACAACTCCACATCTTTAGGCTTGTCCACAACGCCCTTCCTCATGCACAGAGGAAGAATTGGTTAAAGCTACAGAGAGTGTGGTCACTGTTGCCTGGTTTTGATCAAAAATTATTTCTCTGCTTGTGCTCCTTCTATTTTTATCAGTTTTATACTTATCTATCCAATGCTTTTGACACAAAATAAGGAAACCAATTTAACCTAATTCGTGGTGGCCACAAAACTGTTTCTGGAGGAGAACAACTACTTTCAAAGCAAGGACCGCACAATTAAACAGGAAATAACACTTTCAAACCAGGAACAGCATTTTTTTCACAGCCATCTGCATTGTAGATCCATCTCTACTAATTAATTATGTGATGAAAACCATCCAGATTCCTGGTAACACGCAGAAGCAGAATACAATTTTACAATTTAAGCATGATAATACTATTAATTTGAACAGAGTTCTATATGGTAACACGTAATGGTAAACTGAACACTCATTCTGAGTAACACATATACGTGATCCTCTTTATAGCTTTATCTCAGATTTGAGCCAGCAGAAAAGGACCAGGTTCAGATTGCAAAAGTGTAGTTACCCAGCGCGTTCTTGGCTGGATCCCCTGCTCTCCACAGGAGAGACACTAGCAGAATGAGTTGAGTTCTTATACACCAACTGTTTGCTTGGTGAGATCGAGGGTGAATGAGACCTTGCTTTGGATTTGCTGTGGGAGTGGGATCTCCGCTTCTTCCTTTCGCTAGGACTTCTGAAAACAAAACGGAAAAACAGCAATATTGCTTAATTCCAATACAATACAATATGGCATAGAGAGTACAGGATATTTACCTGTATCAGTTCCATGGCTGCCAGCTACAGCCTTATATAACTGAGGTTGGAATAATAATAATAATCATCATCATCATCATCCTCTTTATTTGTACCCCGCTACCATCTCCCCAAGGGACTTGGTGCGGCTTACATGAGGCCAAGCCCACAATACATCAATAAACAAAACATCAATAAACAATCAATAAAATACAAATCATATAAGTCACTTAAACAAAAAACAATCAATAGAATAGAATAGATTAAAATTGAAAATATGCCGACGTGAACAAGGTAAAATATAACTAGCATAGGATTTTTCGGAGAGAAATGAGGGAGCACAGTCCATCCTAAGCCAGTATTAAAGTGTATTGTGAGGACATATTGCTGAGAGTTCTCCTTATTCTGGGAAGGCACACTGGAACAAACACGTTTTCAGGCTCCTCCTAAAGACTGCCAACGTTGGGGCATGTCTAAGGTCCCTGGGAAGTGAGTTCCATAGTCCGGGGGCAACCACCGAGAAGGCCCTTTCCCTCGTCCCCACCAATCGCGCCTGCGAAGGAGGTGGGAGCATGAGCAGGGCCTCTCCAGATAATCGAAGAGATCGAGTGGGTTCGTACACAGAAATGCAGTCACACAGGTAGGTGGGTCCCAAACCATTCAGGGCTTTGTAGGTAAGAACCTGCACCTTGATTTGGGACCGGAAAATGAACGGCAGCCAGTGTAGCTCCTTAAACAGGAGGGTTGACCACTCCCTGCAAGAAGCACCGGTTAGTAACCTGGCTGTCGCCTGTTGTACCAATTGAAATTTCCGGGCCATTTTCAAGGGCATCCCCACGTAGAGTGCATTACAGTAATCCAATCTGGAGGTGACTAAGGCATGGACCACCCTGGTCAGATCCAACTTCACGAGGTACGGTCACAGCTGGCGCATGAGGCCCAGAGGAGAGGAAGGGCAGACTGTGTGAACCCCCAGATGATCACTCAATGAAATACAGTTATAGGTAAACAACCTGTCCATCTTCGTGATTTCTATGAATCATACAACTGGGGATCTGCAAGATAAGGTGATGGGAGCAGGGACATGCCACATGAAGACAGTTCAACAGTAAACCAGTAAACCTTTATTAAACTGGAACAGAAAGTGCCAGAAATCAGTAACTTTAGTGCAACTTTAAATAATTGTTGAGGTGCATCAAGAATGTAACTAATATAAAGTGCAAGAAACAGGACTTCTTTGGAGGTCTTTAAACTGGGTGGCCATCTGTCGGGGGTACTTTGATGGTGTTTTCCTTCCTGGCAGAAAGGGGTTGGACTGAATGGCCCTTGGGGTCTCTTCCAACTCTGATTTCATATTATGAAAGGACATTCTTGTGCCATAGTAATCATCCATCCCACATACTCAGAATGCCCTTGAGATAAACTGCAAAATCTGCAACATCATTAAATAGAGATAAGTGAGACAAATAATTTTCTCCATTCACAGGAGGCATTCCTACTCAGAATATTCAGAAAACAGAGGATAGGAAATTGGCCTATCTAAGGGTAGCCAACTTCTGGGGCCTATTGTGATCCCACTGTTGGCCACTCTACCCCTTCCGGATGAAATCACAAGTAAACTTCCAGTTTTAATTCCTGCCTCAATCTAAAAAGGTACACATATAATGATTTAAATATAAAGTGGTTTGGAGGTTTCAGGGGTAGGAACCTGTTTTTGTGTACAGTGGACCCTTACTATCTGCTGGAGTTTGGTTCCAGGACCCTTTGTGGATATCAAAACCTGTGGATGCTTAAGGCTAATTTTGTACAGTGGTGTAGTAAAGCCCCTTAAATCAGATGAAAAAATGAAAGTTTCTGCTTTGGATTTTTTTAAACGTCAAGCCATGGATGCTGAATCCATGGATACAGAGGGTTGGCTGACATTTTCCCGCTGTAGTTGGAAACTACCATGAAAAGGGGGCGGAGGAAGAAAATGCATGCAACCCTCATCTTGCACATCTCTGATCACTATGAAACACATTTTTGTTCCTCGGTTATAAATGTCATTTTCTAATTGGTTCTTTCATAGAAACATGGGAAAAGTTTATTGAACTGCAAAAACTTTGTTTTTGCAGGACATCCTGCAGTACATTTTTCTGTAGCTTTTCAATGAATATATCATAGAGTCTCAATCAAGTCGACGTAGTTTGTGGCAGCCACAAAAAACAAGTTTCTGGAGTATAACAACTACTTTCAAAAGTAAAGGCCGCACAATTAAACAAGAATAATACTTTTAAACCAGGAACAAAAAAAAATTCAAATTTTGTTACATAGTGTTATCAGCTATACAAACTTGAACAAGATTGCTGGTCTTTCTCTATCCTACTGAAAATATATCAATGGTTAGAACTATGACATGAGCCCTAGTACTAACATTCTGCAAGAAGTTTCTAGTGTAAGAAAATCAGCCATCTGCGAAGACGTCCTGGGGACGCCTGGATATGTTATGATCCTGCAGGGATGCTTCTCTCATGCTGCATTATCACAGGATGTCTATGCCCCACACCACTGGAGAAATTATATTGCTTAGCTGGTACTGCACCATCAGACATCCATTGGGAAGTAGCAGCCAATAATGAAAGGACCAAGGCAGTAACATCTTGGGCTCATCTTCTGTTCAGATATTAACCAGCATGCTTAAATCAAGAAACAGCTTCTTAAGATCGATAGAGAGATACTCGCAGGAACACCTCAGCAATCGAGAGTCCAAAAGTGGCAGGGTTAAAACCCCACACCTTAATCAGTGGCTGAGACCGGATGTGAAACTCCTTCCTGGGCACACAGAAGATTGGGAGATCTGGAAGGTGCTGAACAGGTTGCACTCTGGCACCACGAGATGCAGGGCTACCCTTAAGAAATGGGGATACAAAGTGGAGTCCACGACATGCGAGTGCGGAGAAGAGCAAACCACAGACCGCTTACTACAATGTAACCTGAGCCCTGCCACATGCACAATGGAGGACCATCTCACAGCAAAACCAGAGGCACTCCAAGTGGCCAGCTTCTGGTCAAAGGACATTTAGCATAATGCCAAGTTTTTTTAAACTTCATTTGTGTGTTTAAATGCATTTAACCGGACCCTCAACTCGCCTCTGGCATGATAAATAAAAAATAAGTACTGACGTTCAGATCTTTGTTTTTATTCAATGCAGGGGTACCAAAAACCACGTCTGATGTGACAAATATGAAGGAGATACAAAACAGTATCCCTTGTCTTGTGTTCAATCAAGGAATTATTAATGTTTCCTTTAACTCTGAAAACTCAAGTCCAAGCACCAACATGGTCCTATGGGAATGCTTCATCTAAGATGTTGCATGAATGTATGTGGAACATTAGATTTGATAATGCTCACCATGGGAAACCTAATTTTTACAATTAATAGGATACATTCAGCTTGAAATTCATGCAGTGGTTCAAATGTTACTTTGATTTTTAATGTAAATGTTTGTTGTTTAATATAATGAAAGCCTTGGAAAGTCTGACATACTTGAAGCTAACCAAGCTAGGAAAACCACAATTCCCACTAGAAATATAAAAATCATTCTGCAAATGTAACCTTGTACCTAGAACGTGTGCGCCTCCTGCTCATTCCTGGACTGTTGGTAACACGATATGCTGTTGGGACACTTCTTTCTTCTCTACGCCTTTCAGGTGTATGTGCCCTTCTCCTTGGTGATCTTGATCGAGACCTGAATAAGAGATGGGAGGAAAACATGTTAATATTGAGCTGGAAGGGTTGCGTCTGAATTTCATTATCCAGTATCAGCGAGTAATTGTCTCTAGGCCTCTGTTACATCAGAAATTCTAAAAATATTTCTGAATATTTAGTGAGCAAAATATTGTTCACTAATTTCTGGATAAAAATTCATAGTGATATGGAAATAATACTAAAAATAAAATAACATTGAAACCAGAAACCTTTTTGTTAGGACTATTAGACAAGCAAATACCGAAACATCAAGAAAATTATGGAAGCAACAAACTATACCAACGACGGATGACTGGATTACAAAAGTTTTTGAAATGGCTGAAATGGACAAATTAACTTTAATTTTACAACAAACTAACTCACTTTAAGAATAATAGAAACCTTTTATGGATTTTGTAAAAAATCAGAAGAAATAATAATAATAATAATAATTATTATTATTATTATTATTTGTATTCTGCCCTATCTCCCCGAAGGGACTCAGGGCAGATTCCAATCACAAAAAGGCAAACATTCAATGCCTGAGTATAACAACTAATATACAAATAACAACAAAAGTAATAATCCAGCATATAAAGCACACTGTAACTTAACATCTAAATGAAATAACAACATAATCTATCACATAAATTATATCAACATAAAAACAGAATGTCAAACAAAAGTTCTCCACGCTGAGAGAATTCAATTGGATATATAGACCGATTACTTCCAAAGATGTTAATTGGGCAAGTAGGGTAAAAACTGAGCCCGGATACAAATGACAGATTTTAGTCAGAGGTATAATAGCTGAATCATTATTTAATCCTTTCTTATTTTTAGTCTACAAATCCTGATCATAACAGGATTTGTGGACTAAAAATAATATGGATAACATATTATTGTATTCTGTATTCTAAATCACAAAAATTATGATAATTGCTGCATTAATATCTCAAATAACATAATAGCAATGTATATAATTTCAATGATGTGGACATTACAGAAACACACACACACACACATACGAAGACATTCTCATATATACAGAATCTGCATAGAAAATACTAATACAATAAGTATCTACATATGTATCACTAACTTATTAACAAAAGATCTGACTCTAAGATAGGTAAATAGATGGATATTACTAAAAACTAGGGGAAAATCAAGAGTATGTATAAGTAAACTGATAAAGCAATTAGAAGGAACACTTATACGGTTTGGGTCTAGGCTACTTGTCTAACCGTATCTCTCTAAACAGAACATCTCATGCACTGCAGTCAGTGGAGAAGGCCCTGGCTCTCTAGCCCACCCTTGTCACAAGCATAGCTGGTGGGAATGAGTGAGGGGGTCTTCTCTGTGTTCACTCCTCGCCTCTGGAATCCCTTCCCAAAGAAATAAACCCCCCCCCCCCTCTCCTTCAAAAACCTTCTGAAAACACACTTATGCTCTTTAGCATATGGAAAAGAGGAGGATTCACACACCTTAAACCAATTGCACTGGAACACTAGTTAGGATACATGTTTTTATGTAATTATGTGTTATTTATTGTAAATATGTTTCATTTAAGTATTTGTATTTTCCTTTTAAGTTTAATTCTTTTTTCTTAGTTATGTTTATTGTTGTTGCTTTGTATTATTTTGATGTGCTTGAATTTGTTTACAGCATTGAATGTTTGCCTTTTTATGTATGTAAACCACCCTGAGTCCTCTTTGGGAGAGAGGGCGGTCTATAGAAATAATAGTAATAATAATAGTAATAATAATAATAATAATAATAATAATAATAATAATAATAATGTTATTATACAGGCTCAGAGAAGATAAAACTCGGTGACTAATGCACTGTATTTTTCTACTAGCTCAGATCCCATTTTTTCCTTCTTTTTTCTTTCTCTTCCTTTGTTCCCCCTTTCTTTATGTCATAAAACTGTGAAAATGAAAATTTAAAAACTTGTCAAAAATATTCTTCACTAAACATAGTCATCTTCCTGGGAATCCCTTGGACAGAAGCATACATACTTCACAGATGTGCTTTGGTTTCCTGATGTTTTTGATTTCAGAGGAACAAACCTCATTACATTAAATAGATGTGTGAATTTGGAGAATGCTGGCAGGACCCAAGCAAGTGGGACAACATGGGGAGATAAAAATGATTAGAGCAACACTGACTGGAATTTTTTTCAGGGAACTAACAGAATTCAAGCTGTGAAGTTGAATGACGTGTTGATTTTACCCCAGCCTTTTCAGTCTGCCAATGGTAACAAATAGTCTATAACCAGAATTCATCATTATAAAATGAATGTGAATGAAAAATGTGCAGAAAGAATCAAAGATGATTAGAAAAACTCTCAGCACTGGAAAATATCTTGTGAGTTTAGTTTCTTTACAGCCTACTTATTTTGGCTGTACTTTCAATATGAGCCCTTTTGTATACATCGATGAATCAAGCTTAGTCCTCCTTAAGCCTCAGAATGTTTTTCAGTAATTGGACATCTCTCAATCTTCTTTTTTTTTTTTTTTTAAAAAGGACACTTTCATATAGCAATTTTGTCTATAATGTAAAAGGATGCTCTTAAAACACACAAGGGTTTTACTATTAGCTTAGGAATTATAAAAGCTTTAATTTTTCACACAATGAAAACAGTGGATCATCATATCAGTCTGTATCTATCTATATTTACTATATAAGAAAAGTCAAACTTTGTATGTATGCTTGTATTTTCCAAAATGGCCCCCACTTCCAGAGAGCACTGTAACTACCGCCAACAACAGATCAGGACCAAACTTGGCACACAGATCCAATATGACCAAATTAGAATACTGGAGGGGTTGGGGGGGGGGGGGGTTGGCCCTGGATGCTGGAACTTATAGTTCACCCTGGATCTAGAAAGTGTTGTGAACCCCACTGATGAAATATATCGACCAAGCCTGGCACACAGACCTTTCACGACCAACTTACACCTTTCTTGCTTTAGTTATGCTTCCAAAAATAGATTTTAAAAAATCATAATAGGCATTTCTAGAGCACATCTAACTAAAACAATTTTATAGTATAGTAAGTTTACAGTTACTTTGGTAAGGTCAATCGTAACAAGGAACATCCAGTGTTGCATAAGCCCCATCATGATTGGCGGCAGCTCTGTTAACATATTCTTGTGGTGAACTCATTAGAAGCATATAATGTATGTACCATACTTTCCAGCATATCAGATGACTTTTTAACCCAGGAAAATCATCTCAAAAGTGGGGGTGTCGTCTTATACGCCAGGTATAACATTTGGCCTTTCATGGATGATGGTCCATCTTTAATCCGCTTATTTACTTAGTAACTGTAAACTCACATTTTTCAGAATGTAAACTCACATCTTTCAGGCCCTCAGCATCCACGAGCAGCGCAGCCTGAAGAGAAGGAGGAGGAGGAGGGAGGGAAGAGGAGGAGGGTGGAGGGAGGGTGCAGGGAGGAGGAGCAGCAGGCCGCATTACCATGGAGACTGGCTAGGGGTAGTGGCCCGCTGGGCTGTCCCTGCCACCAGTCTGGTGCTGGCTCCGCCTCGCCATGAGCCTCCCACAGAAGACGGCCCTCAAGCCTGGAGTGGCCACTGCAGAAAGCTAAAGCTGGAGGGGGGGGCTTCGTGGGGAGCAGGAGCTCCTGCTGCCTTCACCACCCCTCCCCATGAACCTGGCCACTCCCCGCCCCCCATCCATGCCCCGTATCCTTCCCATGTCTGGAGAGGAGGGAGGGTGGGGGGACTGCAGGAGCCTGGAGGGTGTGAGGTGGATGGATGCCTGTCGGGAGGGCTTGGATGGTATCTTCCTGCCTCGCAGAAGTGAGTGGGGTTGGACTGGATGGCTATTGGGGTCCCTTCCAACTCAAGGGTTCTGTTGTTGTTGTTGTTGTTGTTAAGCAGTGTTGTATGGTCACCTGTCAGGAGGGGTTGGATGTGTGTTCCTCCCAGGCAGAATTGGAGTTGGACTGGATGGCCATTGGGGTCCTTTCCAACTCTAGGGTTCTATTATTATTGTTGTTGTTATTATTAAGCAGAGAAGGATGGCCACCTGTCAGGAGGGCTTAGATATGTGTTTCTGCCTGGCAAAATTAGGGTTAGATTGGATGACCATTGGAGTCTGTTCCAACTCTAGGATTCTATTATTATTGTTGTTGTTGTTGCTGGGGAAAGGATGTTGGACCCGGCTCACTCTAGGTAAGGTACAGGTTTTCCCTTGACAATAAGTCCAGTTGTGTCCAACTCTGGGGGTTGGTGCGCATCTCCATTGCTAAGTCGAAGAGCCGGCTACCGCTCTGATAGTCTTTGATTTGAAATCAAATCTGATGCTTTTAAAATTTTTATTTGCTGTGTGTTGGAAGAGGGGTAGTCTTATACGGTGAGTTAAACTCGTATTTTAACTGGAAAAGTTGGAGGTCGTTTTATACGCCGGAAAATACAGTATTTGCTTCAAGCATTATGGTCTTAGAGGGAATGTTACATAGATCTTAAGGTGAATCTGAGCAAAGTGTAATAGACTCAAGTGGAGGGACTTTTTTGAAGGAGAAAGGTGAACATACTTGAATTTTTGATGATAGTATTCATTCATAATACACACCTTGAGTGTCGGACAGTTCTATAAGCAGTTGGAAGAGAATGCTTCGCTTTCGAATGTGATCGAGACCTGGACTTAGATGATGAGTGATACTTGGAAAGAGGTGACCGAGATCTTGATCTTGATCTTTTCTTGTGTTTCTTTTTCTTCTTTTCCTTTTCTTCTTCTCTAGGGAGATCTCTGCTTCTGCTTAAAGGACTTTCGGCCATCTTGGCTTCCAAGGCTGGCAATGTCTTAATGCTAGTCAACAGACTGCAGGGTATGTTACTGATTGTCTGGAAGGAAAAACAATAAGCTGATGTTAGCTTTGTGTACATGGCAAGTTAAAATCTCGACAGGAAAGTCTGAGTTATTATCCAAGCATCTTTCTGGAGTAGCTTGATAGCCTTTGCTAGCATATTAGTTTCTAAAAAGAGGACATTAAAGATTATTCTTCCATGACTGCTTGGAAAATGAATGAATACATTGGCTACATTTTATATATTGAAAAATAATACACCTTCAGTCCAAAATATTTTCAACATAAAAAATGTGGACTCCCATTTTCATCAGTTAGATTTAGGACAACATTAACAATTTGACTCATAGAGAATGGGGTTGTGCCATTAGTAGTGCACTCTATCACATTTAACTTTCCACTCTTAGCCCAAAAGCTTATTAAAAACCCATACAAAAACATTGACCCAAGTGAGTCAAGGAAAATTTGACACTGTGACTGCAAGATGAAAAGTGTAAGATGCAACAAGGGACTGGAAAACTGAAGTCATCTTATACCAGTAAGTTGACAGGGTTTGTTATGATACACCCAGTGTCAATTTTGAATGTCTTAACTTGTTTGTATACAAGGAAGTTTAAAGTTCTGCATTGTACTGCTGTGAAGTACTATAGCAGCCTGTCTATATGTGTCCAGATATTTGATGTTCAGAAAAAACCTGTAAAAACAGACAACGTTAAACTTATATAATTAACTTCTTTAGATTAAGTCAAATGCCACACAAATCATCAAACTTTTGGTGGTTTGCACTTAGGGTTTCTAAAAAAAGTTGTTGGCCACCACACATTTGAAGCTAAATTATTTACAGAACTTAAAATTTTATGATGCCCAAACTTGGTAAGTAACCAAACATAAACTCAGAGCACTCACATACTGCCACCAAACATATCTGTGTAACGTGCATTTGTTGCACACCAGAATGATGCCCATCTAACCTTTATGTAGAGATCTTCAAAGGAGAGGCCACCCCTTTCTGAGACAATCTATTCTACTGTTCTTACAATAAAAGACGTTCTACCTAATATTTAGATGGAATCTTTTTTTTGTAATTTGAGATTTGGTTTGTTTTCAAGTTGCTGGAGCAGCAGAAAACAAGCTTGCTCCAAAACATCCCTTCACATATTTAAATACTGCTATCATGTCACCTCATTCTCCTCTTCTCTGCTAAACATGCAACATCCTGTAAGTCATTCCCCATAAGGCTTGGTTTGCAAACCTTTGATTATCTCAGCTGTCCTTCTCTGGACACATTCCAGTTTATCAAATTCCTTCCTGTTTTAACCACTATCCTGAAGGTGATAATGGAACATAAGGAAGAATCCAGATCATCTGACAAGTGACAATGACCCTTAATGTTAAGAGATATGACATGGGGAACGATGGCTGTTTCAGAACAAAGTTGGTGCTATCCCACAGCCAGGCCAGAAGCCATCTGTACAAGAAATGGATAATGGAGACTAGCTAGTTATACTCTAGTATGGTGGGGTTTAGGGAGGTTTTCACAGCCTCTATGACAATGATTTGTCATTTCCTGGGACTGGTTGTATCATTATACAAAGTAGCACACTTAAGGTGTTTGAAAGCCACGATACATTTGGATTTCAGCAAAATGCTAGGCAACTGTGCAATTTTATAAATACATGTAATTTTTAAACATATCCCTCCCGAAAGCAAAAATGTCAATGTTGCTCTGGAAGTGCAGACATAATTGCACAATTGTTTGGATGCTGGCTAATGTTGTGTATATTGGAGACCAGGGTGATACAGAAAAGAGAACGGAATCAATGAACTTCGTGTAGAATCAATGAACTAGTCCTGAAATACTTCTGAAATCAGGAGCACAGCACTGTACGCATGTTGTTCTTACAGCATAATCAGACAGAATGGTAAAACCATAACCTACAAGAAATAAGGAATATTAGCCGTACCTTCTGAGATGATTAATGAAGGCCTGAATTTTATGATTAAATTTTACCATCACCTTTTTAGTATAATGATGCACAGATTGTTATCTTGTGTCAAATGCACTGACAAAGAAGAAACTAGATCCCCCAGAACAGAATGACGTACTGGAAAACTGAAAGTCACAGCAATAGGAAGCCGATAAGGCAGCAAAGATATTTGAGGTATGAAAGGAAGAGACTCTTATTTTGAACTCTGCTTTCTCAGATCTGACAGATGAATCTTAACAAAAGCTAAGAGAAAAATCAAAGTCAATCCTCAGTGCTGGAACATCTGGCAGGGAGCAGAGAAGCTCTCATTAAAATGACAAAACGTTTGCTGAAGTGTAGCTGTTGGAATCACAAGAGAAACATGCCAGGCAAAGAGAGAATAAAAAACTTTCTGGGTGAAAAACATAAGAACAAGAGTCAAGGAAGTTTTGCTTTATGTCTTCCATCTGTAAAACTCAGCTGTGTCTGTCTAGCTACAGAAGACTGTGGAAGCCCTTAACATTCAAAGCACCCATTTGGCTGGTTATAATTTTATTACAACTCATAACTTGATTGCTTTGCAAATATCACAGCACTGCAGAGTAATCTTTCTTTTCCAAGGTTAAGGGCTAAGCTTCATTTCATTCTACAAGACTAGGCTTAAGAAAATGTACTGTACAGAATTACCAAAGGAAAACAGAAAACTCCCTTGCTTCCTAACAGATGCCAAGTTTAAGCCGTGAATAACATAACCCACAAAACAGTGATTCAGTCTAGGTCACCTTTTTGTACAGGAGAAAATTTCCTTGCAATTGTTCCTCATGAAAGAAAACAAGTAGATACTAAATCATAATGGTTCAGCGCAAAGAAAAAAAATATTGCCAGAGCTGAAAATGAATCCATGTTCACAGAATGATTGGTATAAAGACTAGAAAATGTGTGTAATCACACAAATGGGTTATTTTGCACTTGCATAGAGCACTCTTGGAACCCCACTCACTCTCGCCAAGTCCCACCAAAACCCCAACTCCCCCAGCTGTATGTGCCAGCAGCAATAGGACAGTGAAGGTTTTAGCATCAAGTAGGGAGGATGGATGGGTACTTGAAGAACCATAGTCCCAGGTAAGCAATCTGACTTTCTTCTTTGTGGTCTCCATAAATCACACAAATGGGTATCTAACAGGCTACTAACATAGGAGGTGAGTACAGTGTCACACAGGAACAGTACAAAACTCATTTCACATACGGAAGCACAGCTCTACCAAAAAGGCAGTGTCCTTTTAAGCCATGGAGTCCACTCATTAAGGCTGTGATCATGTAGAAGCCCTACATGTCACCAAAGGGAACACCTCTGGGAAATACAGCAGATGCATATGTTGCTCTGGTATAGTGCCTCTTGATCAGTTGGATAGGCTGTCTGCCAGCCAGCTAGCTCATATGCCAGTCCAATGGCAGAAGCACTCATTTTGACAGTCTCAGAAATGAGGACACCTAGCTTTGAGTGACACGCAAAGAATCTCTTTGACTTCCTGTGCGAAGCAGTTCTCTGGATGTAGAAAGCCAGGGTCAGTCTGGCATCTAAGCAGCATAGTCTCTTTTAGAGTTCTAAAGCAGGGCTCTGAAAGACTGCAGGCAACATAATGTCCTGGTTCAAATGAAAAGGGAAAATAGCCTTTGGGAGAAAAGAAATTTCTGGTCAGAGAACTATTCTATCCTGGTGAAACCATAAGTAAGGCTGATTAATCCTATCAACACAAAGCTCACTTGCCCATCTGGTCAATGTAACGGCCACTAAGAATGCTGATTTTCATGACAGAATACGAAGAGCAAATGGAACAATGGGCTCAAAGGGTCACCTTGAAATCTGGGAGAGGATGAGTTTGAGATTCCATGCAATCACCTTTCAAAAAAGTCTTCAAAAGAGGGTCTAAAAATGAGAAACATTACTGAGCATTCTGAAATACCAGGAAATACCTGTGGGATAAAATTTGGTTGACTATAACGTAAAAACCCTGCTCAATAAAGAAGCTAAGAAATTCAAGGCCTCTGATAACTAAGTATCGCAAGTGTTGCAGCCCAGCCGCCTACTTGATCCCCTTATCACCCAAACACCACACAGGTGAACAAGAATAGTAAGCTCATTAAGAAAAAAGTATCTAATATAAAAACATCTTCAAAATACATCCATGAGCTAGATTTCCAGAAGTTTACCAAAAAAGCAATGATCAACTCTGCATAGGAATTCCAAAAATCACTTAAGGCAAAAGCAAGAACCTGTATCAAAAAGCTTGACAACATTAACATGACCACAATCCAAGGCTTGATGCTTGCACTTGACTATAATCCCAAAGATTTGAAACTTGAAACAAGTTTCCTCCTGTAATCCAACCAGGAAGCATGGAACTTAAACAAGAGAACAAGATACAGAACCAAGAACAGAACTCCTAACTCGGCGCTCTCAAGACAGGCAAGTTGACACATGAAAATCCAACATTGATCTCTCCACTGAACATTGACTCCAATTGCTTAAAGAATGCCCTCTTTACCCATGACATCACTCTTTTTCACACCTGGGTTCCCTTTGCTTATCTTTCAGTTTCTGGGAACACCGAATTTGTCTCTGTTTCGCACTATCCCTTCTGATCTGTAAATGATGGGTTAGCTGTAACCCTCCTGTCTCCTCCACATCCCTTTCAGAGTCACTCCCTAGCCAATTCTCACGAGAAACACTGCCTATTTCCCCAACAACAGATCTACCCAAAACATTCCCATAGTCTTGAAAAACACTTTTGCTTTCTTCTACAGAAATACCAGACTCAAACAAAAAATCCTTGTCCTCATTCTCAGAGGCTTCACGGGCCTCAACAAGTTCTCCAGGAAAATTAGTAAATAGTTTCCACTTCTATATGTAAGACTTCTCAATGGCAGTCTTGCAAATTGCCTCAAGAATCTAAGAAACCAGTTCAGAGATGGAGTGTCTTGGAGTCCAGGTTTCAGACTTGTCCAGCTTGTAATGTCAGCAAATTTGGACAACAGCCAGCAAGACACAGTTCTAACATGTCTCATTCAG